TTTAGAGAGAGAGGAAGGGAGAGGGAGAGAGAGATAGAAACATTGGTGAGAGAGAACATCGACTGGCTGCCTCCTGCATGCCCTCCACTGGGCATTTGGCCCACAACCTGGGCATGTACTCTGACCGGGAATCGAACCAGTGGCCTCTTGGTGTATGGGTCGATGCTCAACCACTGAGCCACACCAGTCAGGCAATAAAAACATATATATATTTTTTAATCCTCACTCAAGGACATTTTTCTATATTCTGGTCAGATAGAGTGGGAGGGAGGGAGGGAGAGAGAGAGAGAGAGAAACATCGATGTGAAAGGGACACATTGAGGGATTGCCACCCGCACGACCCACCCAGCGCCAGGGACAAACTGCAACCGAGATACGTGCCCTTAGCGGGAACCAAACCCGGGTCTCTCTGGACCGCAGGCCGATGTTCTAACCGCTGAGCCAAACAGGCCAGGGCAATAAAAACATATTTTTAAAAAAACAAACAGAAAACCAACAGATCTGAGTACAGAAGACGTTCTAAAATTTTCTATATGGCAAAAGATGCCAAAAATGAAGCCAGTTGAGAAATGAAAAAACTCCAAGAAAATATTGGCAACATAGATGAGACGTAACCATGAAAATTCAGATCAATGAAACTGTTTTCATCCATCAGAAAAATAAAAATGCTGAGGACCGCTAACATCTTTGCTGGTAGGAGAGTGTAAAAGGACCCTCGGATAGTGCGGATGAGTGACCACAATCTTGCGTGGAATTAGGGCAGAAATCTGACAAAATCCTAAATGCGAATCCCCTTGACGAGCAACTGCACTTGGGGGTCTGTGCTCAGAAAACAAGAGCGCGCGCCCGAGGCTGCATCAACAGCCCTGTTTGTAGAAACACACAACTCGTACAACCAGAATATATTCCCAGGAGGAGAATAAATGAATAAATTATAATAATTCATACTGTGGATTCTTACATCGTCATTAAAGATAATGGGGATAATAATAATAGTGGGTTATGGCTGGGACTATGTATTAAATTCTAAATAAAAGTGAAGTCCCAGGGTAAGGTGTGTGGTATAATCGTCCTTGTAAATGTTTTAAAGAAACATATTCCAGCCCTGGCCGGTTTGGCTCAGCGGTTAGAGCGTCAGTCTGTGGTCCGGAGAGACCCGGGTTCGGTTCCCACTAGGGGCATGTGCCTCGGTTGCGGTTTGTCCCCGGCCCTGGTTGGGTCGTGCGGGTGGCAGCCACTTGACGTGTCCCTTTTACATCCATGTTTCTCTCTCTCTCTCTTCCTCTCTCTCCTTCCCGCTCTATCTGAACAAAAAATAGAAAAATGTCCTCAGGTGAAGATAAAAAAAAAAAAAGAAATATATTCCACATATACATAAATTCTATTTTTTTTTTCACTATAAAGGAAAGTGTGGATCACATGAAACAACTCTAGTAATACAGGTTACCTATGGGTAGAGACTTTGGATAGAAGAAGTCACTGTGTCCGTGTGTGTACACGCGCGCGTGTGTGTGTGTACACTTCTTTGTTTTTCGTTATTGCCACAAGCACATATTGCTTCTGGAGCATAAACAAAATACACACACACACCCACTGACTACGTCTTTATCAAAAGATGTAACTGGCAACATGGAAAATCTACAATGTGCTTGCTTGTCTCTGATGCCCTGGGTGTTACAAAATTTTTCAAAGAAAATGAATGAAGCTCCTCTTTTCAAAGATAACCACTCAAGACTGCATCCACCCAGCTCTGTTAGTCTTTTGACCTGTTCCCACAATCATCCCCTCTCAAAAGGGGTCAAGCCTTCCTCCACGAGGTGGCGATCCCCTCCTCCCTGGGTGGCAGGGACCCCATTAGCAGGTGGTCCTCCAATGCAGAGACAGCAGCTGGCTGTGGCCAGACCTGGCACCCCCTCACCCAGCTCCAACCTGGCCAAGGTTCCCCCATCCTTCATCTTCCTCAGCTCCATCCAATCCCGCCCACCTGCCTCAGGGGCAGTAAGTTGACCAGCGGGCTGTGGTCTCTGAAGTCAGAGCCTCTACATTCAAACCTGCCACTGGCCACCTCTTAGCTGAGGGACCCGGGGCAAGGGTGGGATGAATTTCCTGTGTCCATGCGACTGGGCTAAGGGAGGCCCGGGGAGATGGCAAAACATCATTTCTGGGTGTGTCGGGGATGACCCCCCCTGGAAAAGATGAGCATTTGTATCAGCGGACTGAGTCAAGAAGATCATTTCACCCACATGGGCAGGTACCATCCAGCCCTGAGAACTACCCCCTCTGACCGAGATGAGACATCGTCCTCTCCTGCCCCACGAGGTCAGGGCTCCAGCTTGCAGGCAGAGGGTGGGACTTCCCGGCTGCCACGCCACGTGAGCCAATTCCTCTGTGACCTCTCCTGGTGTGTGTGTGTGTGTGTGTATTCCACGGGGTGTTTTTCTGGAGAACCCCAACTAATAGGAGCTACTTAATCCCTCTCACCTCAGCGTAGGCAGAAGCTGCTGAGACTTCGGCGGGCTCAGCCCAGCCCCGAGACAACCCCAAGTCTCCTCCATTCTACTCAGAGGCCCTGAGTCCAAATTCCAGGGAGGGAACTCCCCAAGAGTGTGTGCCCCAGGGGCCACGCAGGAAACAGGCTGCTACACCACCGAAGGGTCTGCTTCACGTCTGGGACACAGCGTGTGCTGACTAGTAAGCACTTAGGCAGGGTTTTCCCTTCAATAGAGCAGAGTCGTTTCACCATGGCTCTTCACCGTGCGTGAACCACAGAGAAGGCCTAGAACCTAGAGATCGCGCAACAGGCCACATCTCACTTCGGAAGATGCGAAGGAGCCAGAGCGGGGCTCCGAACCCCGCAGATAGATTTTGTTACGAAGCCAGCCACCCTGCTCACCATCCTTAAATGAAACATGACCTTGCAAGGTGGTGCCCGGGTCTCAGGGGACAGAGGCTGCCGGTGTTAGCACTCAGGGCCACCGGCTAACATGAAAACTTGTCCCAACTACTACCAGCTGCCATTTCTGCAAAGGTCAGAGGCAACAGGTGGGGACAATGGTATATACTGTTTTGAAAGGATTTTGAAGGTAATTGTGGCAAATTAAGTTTAAAAACAGAAAAACACAAGCCCATGAGGAAGTGGGTGTAAGGATAGAACAGTAGGGGGTGGCCTGAGGGTAGAAGTTACTTTAAAATCTCTAAAGGGTAGCCTGGGTGGTGTGGCTCAGTGGTTGAGCATCCACCTAGGCACCAGGAGGTCACCGGTTCGATTCCTGGTCAGGGCACATTCCTAGGTTGTGGCCCGATCCCCAAAGGTGTAAACAGAGTGTGCAGTCTTCACGGTGGTTCCCCAAAGCCCAGAGGAACATCCGCACCCACAGAGCAGACATTAGTGGAATTACTCTGAATCATGGCAACTTAGAACTAATTTCAACAAATAGTCATTGGGCGTAATAACATTGGAAATGCAAATTGAATCACCGTTTCATGTATTTATTTAACTCTTTAGAATAAAATGGAGCAAATGTACATTTTTCACAAAAACAGCTTTTCCACGGTGTCCCATTAATGTGTTCCCTTTTAGGTGTATTATTAAAAGGCAGCTCTATCGTAGGCCCTTTGGGAGTACCCAAGTCATGGCTAAGGCTTAATGGGGAAAGAGGATGCTCAGAGAGGAGCCAAGAAGTCAAAGTAAAGTTACCAGCCTGCCACCTGTAGGCTGGTTCTAGCACACCTAAACCTCAGTGCCCACTAGGCAGACGACATGCAAACGCCTATTAAATAATGCTAAAAATGAGCAACAGATGTGTGTGAAGACTATATATAGTGGTCCATCTGAATCATGGCTCCCGGACTCCTGCCTCCAGCCTCGTCTCGGATTCCAACACTCACAGTCCTGGCTGCTCCTTCTGATTTTCCTCAGCAGCCCCTCCAAGACTGGCCCCTGGTCTGAAATAAGCCTTGAAAATTGACGCCCCCATTCGGATGAGCGGCCACTCCTGAATTCTGAATCGATCAGGGTGTCGCAGATGTCGTTTGAAAAGCCAAGCGATGGAATAACAGAACAAAGGCCATCGCCAAAGACAAACAGCAGCCAACGAGGCTGGGCAGAATTTTTTAAAATCCCAAACTCAAGAACAAACACCGAACATTCATCACCAAGGCTTGCTTTGGGATTTCCCGGGTGGAATCAAAACACACTGAGGCGACCGAGGAGCCCCAAACCAAACCTGGTCACAGATGTCCTGAGTTCTCAGGAGATGCGCCTCTTTATAAGCATCTACCCTGTGTTTAAATACCTGTGCACGTGTTCTCTGGGGAACCCCGACTAATCGGAGGTACTTAATCCTATTTCCATGCGTCCTGTTTCCTTGGGTCCACTCTTTTTAAATATTGGAGGCGGGGGCGGCAACTTTCATCAAAAGGCTATAAATGGCGCAACAATGAACTCCTGGTGACAATCGCTTCACCGACATTTCCCGGCGGCTTTCTACAAACCTGGAGGTTGGTTAGCCACAGACTTCTCCGATGTGGGGTCAACAGCCCCAAATCGGTCCCTCTCGCGACCTCAGACAACCTGCCCCCGACGCCGGCTGAGGGCCGCCTGCGCAGTCCCGGTGGACGCGGGAAACGCAAAGTCCCCGCCGCCAAGTCGCTGAGCGGCCGCAGGGCGGCCGGCGGGTCCCCGCGCCCTGAGCCCGGGTGAGCGAGATGCTGGCGCGGACCCGGTTCAAACCCCCGCTCCCCGCCCGGGTCACGGCCGCGCAGCAGGCGGGCGGGGCGGGTCCCCGGCGCCCGGAGCGCAGTGTCCCCGAGGGTCCAGCCGGCCGACGCGCGTCCGCTGTCACCCGCACCGGGCGGAGGCGGGCGCCTGGCTGGTCCCTCCACGAAAAGTGACTGCGGGCTCAGCGACAGAGAAGGGAAGGGACGCTGCGACGGCGGCGCGGGGTCCCCGGAGTTCGGAGCCCGAGTTGTGGACGCACCCGCGCGGCGCGGACACTCACCGAGAAGCCGGCCCAGAAGGGGCAGGAGTGGCGCACGCGGGCCGAGGTGGTGAGCGCCAGCGCGGCGAAGCTCACGGCCACGATGAGGCAGCCGAGCGCCATCTGCGTGGCCCCGAGCGCCAGCACCACGCGGGAGCGGCCCGGGCACTGGCGCAGGCGGGACAGGCTGCGGGGCGGCGCGCGGGGAGCGGCCGGAGGCATCGCGCCGGCGCCCGCACACCTCGCCGCTCCCGCGCCCGCGCCCGCGCCCGGCGCCGCCTCTCCTCACACGGGGTCGCAGGCAAGTTGCGCCGGGCGTGGGGACGGGCTCGCTGCGGGCCGCGGGGGCTGCGGCGGCCGCGCGCGGGGAGCCGGCCGGGCCGGGCGGGGAGCCGCGCGCCCACTGCCCCAGCCGGCACCCGTGTCCATGCCGCCGCCGCCGCCGCCGCTCCGCAGGGCCGCCCGCCCGCCGCGCCGCGCTGCGCCCTCTCCCGCCCGCCCCGCGCGCTCCCCGGCCCGAGCGCGGGCGCGAGCCCCGCCGTCCCGGGCGCGAGCCCCGCCGCCGTGCGCTGGGCCGGACCCGAGCGGGCTGCGAGCGGGCGGCGCAGGTGCAGCGGCGGCGGCGGGTCCGAGGCTGGGAGTGGGCACCGCAGGCGCGTCACGGGCGAGGGCGGGCGCCTCCCCGGCTGGCGGCGCTGGAGGAGCCTGGGAGCCGGCCCGCGGGCCCAGCCTGAGGCCGGCCCGGGGTGGGCGCGCGCCTTGGGCGGTGGGGGCAGGGAACGGGGAGCCCGCCGGGCGGGCGGGGAGCGCAGGTGAGGCGCATTCCAAGCGCTCTGGCCCAGGTGTGGCGCCTGGGAGCCTCTCCAATGCGCAATTCCGAGATCCAGATGTCGCTTTGCTGCCGTTCCAGAATTTCCCTGGGAACCAGCCCTAAAGGACTGAATCTAAATCAACCCTAGTGCGCTACGGATGCCCTTACCCACCTTCCCTTTGCAGGGCTTTGGATCCAAGTCAAAAGTTTGGGCGTAAAACAAATTGCACAAAACGAATTTAAGGACCTATTAAATCATCTCCACTCCCTTTTGCCTGGATAAGGTTGTAAATACCTGCTTATCGGCTTCCTCGGAATACCAAGACAGCTTGCAAGTTTCAATTGTCATAGTTCTTCATGTGGCCCCGTGGGGGTGACAACTTGAAGAGGCCCAGTGTGGGAAAAAGCTGTGTTGACATGTTAAGACACCCAGGAGTGTGAGGAAGCCTGAAGGGATGAAGCATAAAATGGCAAAGTTCATAGTACTGTGGGGATATGGTGGACACACCGCACAGCCTCCCCGTGCTGGAAATTTCGCCTTTGCAGATACCGATTCCTTTGGGGCTTGCCGAGCCTCTATTAAAATGCAAATTCCTCTGGAAGGGGCAATAGCTCAAGCCTTTATCAGCCAACACCTTAGCAGGGATGGGATTTATTTTCCAATTGGATGGGGTGGCCAAGGGATGAACAGGGAGGGGGTGGGGAATTCCACAGATAAAGTGGCTGACCTCAGAATGCTGGCCCGAGGCCAGAGCTGCTTTCTCCTCCCGTTCTTATCTATAACATGATTAACCCAGCCCCACCCCCCAGGTCATTTAGAGCGCTGGAGTACAAATTCAGATTTCCTGGAGACATTCTCTAGAAATTCACAGGGCCGCCTTAGGACTTGGAATAATGCCAGAGCAAGATCGGGGCCTGCCAGGAAGTTCCATTCTCATTATCTCACCTCACTCATTCATTCATTCATTTACTCAGCTTCCAACAAAAGCTCACAAAAAGCTCTCTGAGAACCAGGCACTCTTTTAGCCACTATGGAAAACAATGTGAAGGTGTCTCAAAACCCCGTAAAATTCTCATATGATCCTTAGGATCCAGCAATTCCTCTTCTGAGTGTGTGCCCTGAAGGACTGAAAGCAGGGACTCAGAGAGAGCTCTACACCCATGTTTCTAGCTGCACAATTCACAATAGCCAGGAGGTGGAAGTAGCGTGTCCATCAGAGATGAATGGATAAACAAAATGTGGTGTCTTTTTTTTTTGGTACGTGCCCTTAACAGGAACCGAACCCGGGATTCTCTGGTCCACAGGGTGACGCTCCAACCGCTGAGCCAAACCAGCCAGGGGAAAATGTGGTGTCTTAAACAGCAAGGAAATTCTGACACCGTATGCTAAGATAAGCCAGTCACAAAGGGCAGACCCTGCCTGAGTCCACTTACATGAGGCGTCTACCGCAGTCCCGTTCATAGAGTACAGTGGTGGTTGCCAGGGGCTGGAGGAAGGGGATGGGGCATTGGTGGTTGATGGGGACAGTTTCATTTGGGGAGGATGAAAGAGTTGTGTGGAGGATCATGATATATATATATATATATTTTTTGGTACGTGCCCCTAGCAGGAACCGAACCCAGGACTCTCTGGTCCGCAGGCTGACACTTCAACCACTGAGCTGAACCGGCCAGGGCTGATGATGATGACTGTACAACAACGTGAATGAATTTAATGTCACACAATTACATACTGAAATACGGTTCCAGTGGTCATTTCTATCTTATGTATATTTTACCACAATAAGAAAAATATACAATCAAATACCACTTGACATCCACTAAGATAACTATAATCAGATACTTAAAAACCCGCAAGCCATGCTGGTGTGACTCAGTGGATAGAGCATTGTCCTGTGCACCAAGAGGTCACCAGGTCAATTCCTGGTCAGGGCACATGCCTGGGTTGTGGGCTCCACCTCCACTAGGGGGCGTTCGGGAGTCTGTCCATTGATGTTTCTCTCCCTCTTCTCCCCTTTCTAAAAAAAATCAATAAAAATATATTTTTAGCCCTGGATGGTTTGGCTCAGCAGGTCAGAGTGTTGGCCTGCAGACCAGAGAGTCCCAGGTTTGGTTCATGCTAAGGGCATATACCTTGGTTGCAGTTTGTCCCCGGCCCTGGTCAGGGTTGTGTGGGTGGCAACCAGTCGATGTGTCCCTCTCACATCTATGTGTTTCCCTCTCCCCACCCCGCCTCTATCTGAAGATAAATGCAAAAAATGTCCTCAGGTGAAGAATATATATATATATATGTATATATATATATATATGTATATGTATATATGTATAGTATATGTACATATTATTATATATATATAATTTTTTAATCCTCACCTGAGTATATTCTTCTATTCATCTTCAGATAGAGTGGGAGGGAGGGGGGGAGAGAGAGAGAGGAAGAGAAACATCAATGTGAGAGGGACACATCGACTGGCTGCCTCCCTCACAACCCCAACCAGGGCCGTGGATGAACCGTAACTGAGGTACGTGCCCTTGGCCGGAATCGAACCCATGACTCATTGGTTCACAGGCCAACCCTCTAACTGCTGAGTCAAACCAGCCAGGGCAAAAATATATATTTTTAAAAACCCTGCAAATGACAAGTGATGGCAAAGTTGTCGAGAAATTGGACCCCTGTTCATTGCTAGTGGGAGTGTAAAATGGTGCAGATGGAAAATAGCTTGGCTGTTCCTCAGAACTCAACACAGAATCATCACAGGACCCAGCCATGCCACTCTTAGGTACAGGACTGAGACTCGGTGGCTTGAACTTCTTCCCCGTGTCCTGTGGTCATCACCTCTGGTTCTGGGACACGTCTGTTCAGATGATGGTAAATGGAGGTTTGGAAGCAGCACCAGCGTTGACAGAGAATATCACACGTGTGGAAACATGGACTTCTCTTTGTTCCTTGGGTTATAAAATGTGTATCTTGTTGCCACCTGGGAATAAATTTAACCAAAAGAGGCGGCGGGGGGGGGGGAGAGGTGGAGACTGGTACATTGGAAATCACAAAACATTGCTGAAAGAAATTTTTTAAAAACCTCAGTAAGCCCTGGCCGGTTTGGCTCAGCGGTCAGAGCGTCGGCCTGCGGTCCTGAGAGACCCGGGTTCGGTTCCCGCTAAGGGCATGTACCTCGGTTGCAGTTTGTCCTCGGCCCTGGTTGGTCGTGCGGGTGGCAGCCACTCGATGTGTTCCTTTCACGTTGATGTTTCTCTCTCTCTCTTCCTCTCTCTCCCTCCCGCTCTACCTGAACAAAAAATGGAAAAATGTCCTCGGGTGAGGATAAAAAAAATAATAAAAAAAAACAAACCTCAGTAAGTGGAAAGACACTGTATTCATTTACAGGGAGGCTTAATATTAAGATGTCAATATCCAAGGTATTCACCACTTAAAAGAATTAAAGGACAATTTCATGCAGAAAGGGAAGAGACCTAATTTTGACAAGCCTTAGTACTTATAACACTTCATACGCTCTGTGGTGACATTTATTTTTTATTTTTTATTTTTATATATTTTTTTCTTTATTGATTTTAGAGAGCAAGGAAGGGAGAGGGAGAGAGAAACAGAAACATCAGTGAGAGAGAACATCGATTGGCCATCTCCTGTATGATCCCTACTGGGGATTTGGCCCACAATCTGGGCATGTGCCCTGACCTGGAATCAAACCAGCGACCTCTTGGTACATGGATCAACACTCAACCACTGAGCCACACCAGCCGGGCTGTGTTGACATTTCTTTTATTTTATTTATTTATTTATTTTTTGGTACGTGCCCTTAGTGGGAACTGAACCCGGACTCTCTGGTCCGCAGGCCAACGCTCCAACCACTGAGCCACACCAGCCGGGCTGTGGTGACATTTAAATTAGATTGCAGCCCTGGCCACTGTGGCTCAGTCAGCTGGAGCATCATTCCATGCACTGAGGAGTTGTGAGTTCAATTCTTAGTCAGGACATGTATGGAAGACAACCGATCAATGTTTCTCTCTCTCTGCCCGTCTCTAAAACCAATAAACATATAAAAATAAATAAACAAATTAGATTGTGAATATGTAAAGCATTTTGCAACTATTAAGGCATGTTATAAGTGCTGGGCAACAATATTCAGTTAATAACGAGTTCCTTACAGACAGAAATGCAGTTTCATCTGTGCTTGGAATCCTGTAATACACCTGACAGAGCCCTTAGCATATAGTGATCTTCCACGATTATTTATTGAACTGCATCCTATATCCTAAACTCTGTGTTAGAATTGAATTTTTTTTTAAATAATAGCTACCAATTTTTTGTGCATTTTTTAAAAAAGTTTTTCTTCATTGCTTTTAGAGAGAGAGAAAGGGAGAGGGAAAGAGAGAAACATCGATGAGAACATCG